AAAAAAAAAAAAAAAAGAAAGAATCATGATGTTCGAGCCATTAGTTGAGTGGGATCAAGAGGATCTCGAATATTTCGAAGATTTGGAGAGGGAATTAACCCCATGGGAGCAAAATTATTTGGGGGAGATATACGAGCAAAAAGAGGAGTATGAAAGAAAACTCAAGATCATGGAAGACGAGCAAGAAACCGAAGAGGTGGAGGTCGAAGAAGATGTGCCCGACGTTTGGATGATTGATGATGAATCCTTGAGGACAAGGATAGTCTCGAAGAGGAGGGGAATGATGCGGAAGTGGGTTCCGAGCCTCGACGACAAGAAGATCCAAGAGACGAGGCGACCCGATGAGGCTGGAAAAAGGGCCAAAACGACACACGCATGGCCTAAAAGACGGGTACGAGCTCGTATGCGAAGCGCACGAGCACGTAAGGAGCAACAGGGGTCGACCGGCGACAGAGAAGGCGAGGGAGATCGGCTAATGGGCGAGTGGCGCGCATCGGCCCATGATGCGCGCGGTTGGACCGAACGGGATGATGTATGCGGGTACACTGAGACAAGCGAGCAAGACACGAGCATCGACCTGGATGCGTTGGTGCTCGGAGGCACAAGTACGGGTGCGCGGTTAGAGTACGAAGAGCGCGCATCGAGTGATGATGCGCGCGAATATATGCCGGGCAAGGTATCGGGCGCGCATGGGCACACGGTAGGTGGCTGGGACGCGCGGGTGTTGGCCAGCTGGGGCGAAGCGCGCGATAAGCGCACGAGTATGGGTGACGCGAGAGGAAGCCGTGGCCTCGTGGATATAGGACTGTCGGGCGCGGGCGCACACGCGCAGGAGGCGAGCGACAAGGACAGGGCTGGTACGATGGCGCGCGAGAAGTATTGCTACGGATGGGCAAGCACGAGCGAAGAACGCGCATCGTTCCATGATGCGCGCGAGTGGTCGGGTGATCGTGCGAAAGATGCACGGGCAATTGGTGCATGGGACGCGGGCTATGCGAGGGGTACGCGGGCGCACGGGCAGCAGGTGTGCGGGCGATGGGCGAGACGCGTGGCACCACGCGGGCGAAGGAAATGGCAGCAGCAGGGCGCGCGCATTGGCGTGCGATTGCAGCACAGGCGCGCAAAGCCCAACCCACGCGGGACTAGGCATGGCGGTGACGTGCGCGACACGGCGCGCGCATGGACAGCAGGGGAGACGGGCGCATGCCTATGCGCAGAAGGCATAGGCCGGGGGCGCTGGCACGCACGCGCGGGGAGAAAGGCGGTGACGCTGGGTGCGCGCATAGGCGCGCGTGCGGCGCATGGAGGGCGTGCGACGCGAGGCGGTGGTTTGGGGCGTGCGAATGACTTGAGCTTCAAGTTATGCTTGGAGTGCAAGTCAAGACAATTAGTATTTTAGTTATGTTAGGATTTTATTTCCTTTATTGCTTTTATTTATTAGTAGTAGAAGATGTGAGGAGATTTATTAGTATTAGGATTTATATTATTGCCTAGATTAGGAGATCTAGTTTGATTAGGTTTAGATTTAATTTATGCACTATAAATACCCCATGTACCTCATCATATTTTGGATGTCTTGAATTGAGTATTGAATTGGTGAGCCAATCTTGAGGGGGAACTTGATGTTCTTAACGTGTGATAAAGAAGGCCATTAGAGCGTCTTTACATGCAGTGTCGGAGAGAAGGCCAATAGTGCGTCTTGAAGTCACGGTGTCTAGGAGAAAGGCCGCAGTGCGTCTGCTAGATACATCTATCGGGGATAAACGAAGGCCTCAGTGCGTCGTTTATTCGCAACCCAGTATAGACAAAAGATCGATCCGTCATCACACAGGCGCACTGGGGCGCAGCGCAGCGGACAGCGCGCATGATGAAGGATCGGATGTTTGTGTCCTCGACTTGTCTCGATCACGGCTTCGCCACGGCCTTGCTCTCGACGATAGGTGTGATCGACTCGGTTATTAGCCTAACTCTCTCACGATACTTGAGTTCACTTTGTTATTAGCCTCGTTTCACTCGCGAAATAGATCGGGTCTTAGCCTCTCTAAATCATTGAACTGGTTCGGGTCTTAGCCTCACCAATTCGATTTGTATGATCGAATCTCACGACTCTCAACACACGGTTTGAACAAACGTTCTTTTCTATTCCATTCCAAGACTCCCCCATCCGTGGACCGCTCACCCGTGCGCCAACCGCGCCCCGGCGTTACACCCCCGAACGCCAACGCGTCCCAATCGACGTCCGCGACTCGCCCGCCAACCGAACTCCCGCGTACGTCGTCCTGTTCCGTCCACCCGCGCGCATCATGGGCCGATGCGCGCCATTCGCCCATGAGCCGATCGCCGTCGCCCTCTTCGCCGGCGATCGCCACCTTTGGTTCGGGCCATGGTTCCCAACCATCCAACCTAGCACATCTCTCGGCCGGTATCCACCATCCTTTGTCCACCCATCGCAACCCTCGCCTTCTAGCCTCCTTTCTTCGGGCTCGTCTCTTCTTTGTACAAGGCTTACACCAACAACATGATTCCTTAGTCTTCGCCTTGCGTTTCCTTTGTGCTCGTTTGGTCTTGCGCTTCTTGATCTTCAATTTAGCCCGTGGAACACATCCTTCCGGCCAATCTCGTACGCATGATGGTCGATAAATCGGACTAGATGGCTCCTCGAACATGTTCTCCAACCAAATATCGAGACCATCGTCCTCCTCCTTGTCGG